CAAAGAAGGCCGGGACTCAGCGGGAAGCCCCTGCTGTTGTAGTTCGGCCCTGGGAGGATTGCAGCACGTGGGAGGGATTCATGCTGGAGCAGTTCGTGAATTGCTGCAACCTCTGGGAAGGACTCATGCCAGAGAAGGTTCGTGGAGGACTGTCTCCCATGAGAGGGACCCCATGGCGGAGCAGGGAGTGTGAGGAGTCCTCTCCTCTTGAGGAGGAAGGAGCAGCAGAAACAACTTGAGGGACTGACCACAACCCCCATTCTGTGCCCCCCTGTGCCAATGTGGGGAAGGAGGTAGAGAAATTGGGAGCAAAGCTGAGCCTGGGAAGAAGGGAGGGGTGGGGGGAAGGTGTTTTTAAGATGAGGTTGCATTTCTCACTGTCCTACTCTGATTGGTAAATTGGCAATGGTGTTCAAATTAAATGGATGTTCTTTCTTCTCGAGCCTGTCTTTTGCCTGTGACCATAATGGGTGAGTCAACCCTTCCTGTTCTTGTCTAGATACCCAAGCCTTCCCTTTCATTTTCTCCTCCCCATCCCTGAGGGGGAAGGAATGAGTGAGCAGCTGAGTGGTGCTTAAGTTGCCCTCTGGGCTTAAAACATTACACTTTTTATCATGATTTGGTTTTGTTAAACTGACCACCACCACAAGTATTCCTCCTGTCTCTTATACACATCTCCCCCCTCCAACACAAAGCCAAAGACACGTCAGACCTAGTGTGTTAATGCATATATTTATAACCTATTTGACCTGAATTGCCATCCTGTCTTCCACTGTTTTGCAATTTTGGTGATGACTTCCTTTGACTTGTATTTGTTTTGTGACATTATTAATAAATTAAAAAAATAAATACAATACTTAATATAGTTTTATGGAGTTCGCAGGGAGAAATCTGTAACTCCTAGCAAAATATTTTTTGAAGATAAGCAAGCATTCTGTTATCTAACCATGGAGAAGACACATCACTTGTCCCCAATCTTGATGCTTCTTAAAGAAGTTCCATCTGTGCATGGTATTCTAGTGACTGCTCTCTCTTGCTTTCTGCTCGTAAGCAGAAGGACTTGTATTCAGATGAGTGTTTTTAATGGATCCATTCACAAGTTACATGTCTTCATGCAGAGCATGAACCTCTTCAGAGCTGCACTTGCTCAGAGTTTTACAGCCATGCTTTCAAATAACAAAATCTTACATCCCTGTGGAGAAATATTTTTGTCTTCTCTCTCTGGGACTGCCCCCAGTGACACAAACTCTGTGTCTGGCAACTAGTTTTACATGTGAAAGATTGTTCTAAAGGCCTTTACATGAGGAGTAAAATTCATCATCATTCCTCTTGTGAAGACAAAGGTACAATTTTTAATGGTTTAAGCAGGTGAAAGTGTGCAGCTGACTGGTGTGGATGAGGTACCTCCTTGTCCCCTCCATATTTTTAAGAGCCTAACATAAGGCAATTTAGTTTTCCAGGGGAGCCAGCAAGAGGTTTGATGTTTCTTTATTGACTTGAGACTGCTTTATCTGAGACATGATGAATCTTACAAGGAATATGGGAGACTGAGGGGATGGGTATAGAGTGCCTCTTCCCCTTGCTTTATCGGAGTGCTCCCTTTGAAGCTTACAGAAGCTTACAGCGTTGAAGTAGTTATCCTTCTTAGAGGGGAGTTTCATCCCCATGTTGATGAAATATATTTGGTGGTACTTGCAGCAAGCAGAGGCCTGCTCCACGTCTGCCAGATGTTGCCTAAAGGCCACTGATAGGACTCTGGCTTTTTTGAGGGATTCTGGTAAGTGGACATTTTGACACTGTTTTAAATTCTACGATGTTGCAGTTCCCAGTCACTGCTTATGATGAAATCATGTAACCAGTAAATTATTTACAGAGGTAGGGCTAGATTGGCATAGGTGCCCTCATTGTGAAGCAAAAGTTCCCTAAAGCAATGAAACAATAGAGAGTAGAATTGGAGAAGTATTTAAATGAAGTAAAGATTTTGTGGCAGCCAGCCAGAGGGCCAGATCGGGTTTTCTGAAGTACTGGCTGGGTTTGTCTTCATAATCTGATACTGCAGCCCTGGAAGCTTGTAGAGTTTTTTGGTTTTATCTATAAGGTGACCAAAATATGTGATTGTCATAACATCTTCTATTTCTAATAGTCGCCACTATGGTGTTGCTTATCAAGATCTTGGGAGAGATTCACAGATCTTCTTATCAAGTATTATTAGCAAGGCCAGGGAGCCAAGGTCACTTCAGTTCAAGTCAAGCTTCTTTAAAAACTGGTTATGCTGTCCACTCTTGGTATGGCTGAAATACTGTATTTAAAACAACAACAGCAACAAAACTACAGTCCTCCCTTTGCACCTCCAAACCCGCTAACACCCTTTGCACCCCAAGCAAGAACCTGACTGAGAGCAGACTTGTTAGCAGATTAAAAAGTTCTGTTGTGACTCTCATGCATGGATTACATAGGCCTCCCAGGTCCCTGTTCAGTCCATATCCTTGTCTGAACAGAACACCGGGCAGAGGTAGCTAGCTGTCTTGGGTTGATATAAGGGAGCAACCCAGCAGAAGCAACTGTATTATTTTAAGGGAAATTTCAGAAGAACTTGTGCATTCTTGCTCTCTTCAAATGTTCTGTTACTTCAATTTATTATCTTAATATTATCTTTACTGACTTTAGGTTATATCAGTACATCTTTAAAAACAGTCTGTGGAAGTTTTGAGGTTATTTTCAAGATCAAATATTTAACAGTATTTATTATGATAACTTGTCTATTTTTACAGGGTTTATGGTGATTTAAGAGTATGATACATTTTCAAAAGTTTTGTGAAGCTGAGAAAAATGAGTTTTGAAGGTAGATCCCCTTCCCTCCCCCCCCAATGGCTACTGAAGCATGCAGACCAACTCTTCTGGACCTCTCTAAATATTTTTCATAAACAGTAATAGATATCTTGCCTCGTTTTTTTAATCCTGAACTATTTACTCTGATTTCTTTATTATTTCATTAAAAGCAAGCCGCCATCCCACAGGAAACAGTTGGTTTCAGAACTAATATATATCACTGAAAGAATTTATTTTTTTTTTAACTTGTCACGGCTCATGTTTAGGTAAGACTAGATAGTCAGTTTTTGAACAGTTCTGTGTACCTTACCCTTTCATGAATGAATTACCTATCTTTGTCATTCTTTACAGCTGCAATTGCTTGATGTTCAATGAATATACACAAAAGTAGCATGTCACAGCTAGAAAATACTTTAAATCCGCTCAGCTACATATAGTCATCTGGTGGGACAGATCTCTGCATTTCAGGGGTTGAGAAATGTAATCTCTCTGATGCTTTTGTAGCAGGTAGGGCAGAGTGAAAACTTCAGGACTAGTATGTAACCTAGACAGCTAACTGAAAGCAGGGGTTATTTTTTCAGTTGTCATTAATTTGATGCAGAGTGGTGCTTGTCAGGGTCAGTGCTAGCATCATGATTTGCAAATGGTGTTACACTGTCACCAATCCTACAATTTTTGTTTTAGTGAGCAGTTTAGGTTGGTCGAACAGGTTCATTGTTACCTTGAAAATCAAGTAGCCCATGAGATAGTCTGTTGTTACTCTATTCTGAAAGGTTTAATATAAATTCTAGCTGCACTTCTTTTTGGTAGATGAGTTTTATGCAGAAATACATTTCTCTCTTCCTTATCCCTTAATCCCCCCTGCTCACCCTCCCCCCCCTCCTT